CCGCTAGCTCCAGCGCCCAGAAAGGGGGGGAACTCGGTAACGTGCACCGGCTGCTTAGGCTCACAGTTCCCTGGCGTTTGATTCAAAAGGGGAATGTGTTTTTCCCTTGGACGTAACAGAACTAGTTCAGGAAATTAATCGTATTTCCTGTTTTTTTACTGATATGAAGTATCTATCTTAATGAGAGAACCAGCAAAAACATAACCGATCCAGATCCAGAAAACATTCCCCTTCCTTCTCTGACAATAAACCTTACGCTATAGCAGTGATTTGACTGGCAAGAGAACTACGGGGGAATGGGCTCCTCTCCTCGGCGTGAGCTGTGCCCGTAGCCCCAGAGGATTAAACGCATGGCATGAAGCAATACAGAACCGGAGTCTTTTTCCTCCCACCAGTATTTATTAAATGATATCCTTTTTCTAGAGCTAAAGTAATCAAATATTAGCAAATCCTACATGCTGTAAAGGAATTTGCTTTTTCACTGCAATAAATTCCCATTAGATGTGAGCACTTATGTTATACACTGGGTAAAAACCTTTTGCAATCCCCAAATTTAACCTGACTCCCTAGAATTAAAAAAAAAAAAAACCAAAGCTGCTTAAATGCAATACCAAAGAACAGCTTTCATGAAAAAGAGGCCTCTACTAGAAAGACTGATGGCGCATCAGAAAGACACAACGGGACGGAATTCCCTACTGGTGTAAATACAGACACATCTATGAACAGCTATGGAGCTACTCCTCTTCAAGGCAATCCTGAGTTTGGACAGTTAACTTTTGGGCCAGGTGAATCTTTCTGGTTTTTTATTTTAAAGAAAAAGAAAACACAATTACTGACTTTCCAAACAAATTCACGTTTCCTTCAGTATATTTCAGTTCCACATGTTCTGTATTCATACAAGGGAAGCATGCTACAAATACATTAATGAAATCAAATATGTAAAAGTAATTCAGACAAAAACATTGAAAACATTTAAACTAATCCTCTACATCAGAAAGTGTTCAGAGGATGTTTTGGGCTGAGAGAAGTTATGCAAATTGGTGATGCATGAGCTCAGCGTACAGCTTGGGGAAGAAAGTCTGTAACGAACACAATTCAGATTTGCAGCACTGACAGCAAAACTGCAGTTTAGAGGTGGTTGTTCCCCTTCACAGCAGTTACGCACAGAAGAAGAACCCTCACCTTTGGCTCTGCAGCGCAGAAGGGCTCTAACGTTCGGTGTATCGTGCCAGCAACCAGCTACTCCTAAAACGAGCCAGAGCCCTGGTCCTGAGGCACTGCAGCGGCTCACTTCACGTCTCCCCAGCCTACCTTCATCCAAATCAGCTGGCATAACCCTGGAGTAACATAGTCTGAATTAAATGTTAAGTTTCATCAAAATGTTAACATAACAAAACTAAATAAGCATTTAGTTTCCTTTTTGGGGCCTTTTTCCCTCATTTTCTATCAACCAGTATTTGTTACTTAAACTCAAGATTGTCATGACTCTAGTTTGAGGGCACCTGATACAAAATATGTGTAAATCAATAAATTTAGGCCCATTAGAATAACTTACGGAATGACTGATTTACGGAATAACCCATCTCATCTAAGCGCTTCCCACTGGAGTCACTTACAGAAGAGTTCCCGCTGCCACTGCCGGGAGCTAAAGCAAGGGATGAAATAGAAGCAAAAACCGGTATTTTCTAGATTCAGCAAAACTATTTACAATGGACGAACTCCTCGGACGGCGGCTGGCCGGCTCCGCTCTCACCGCGGCCCGCCTTTGGGGCTGAAACAGCCGCGCGGCTGCACCTCCG